GTTGGAAAGTCCCACAGAAAAACATGCAATTTGTTAGTGACAGCGACACAGCCAAATCACATCAGCAAACGGAGAACAAATTTAGTAAAGTAACAAGGCAACAAGGTCTGCATTTCAAACTCAAAACATACCATTCCACACATTCATGCAAAAATGTATCAGTATCTGAGATGATCTTGTTTGATCTTGATCTAAAGTGCCTCACAGACAAAATAGGGGTTTACGGGAATAACAAATTAAGAGGAGTAGCAGTTTCTTTTCTATTTAATACAAAAATATTTTCATATGCTGCCAAAAGTAAATGTACAACTTATAGATTCCTATTCACTGGTACATTTACTCTGCCACGGGACTGTAAGATGAATGCACTGGATGGTGTGAATAAGCCCTTACTAATAAAGTATTGATTTTGTCTTTATATAATGTTCCAGGTTCCCAGTGTTGTGTAGAAATATCATAATGGAACAGTATTGTGTTATTTACTGCTGAGCTCTGCGTTATTTACCACCGTGCTCTGCGTCTTTATTACCGTGCTCTGCATTCTTTATTACCGTGCTCTGCATTCTTTACTCCCGAGCTCTGTGTTTTTTACTCCTGAGCTCTGCGTTCTTTATTACTGAGCTCTGCGTTCTTTACTACTGAGCTCTGCGTTCTTTACTACTGAGCTATACGTTCTTTATTACCAAGCTCTGTGCTCTTTACTCCTGAGCTCTGCATTCTTTATTACTGTGCTCTACGTTCTTTACTACTGAGCTCTGCATTTTTTACTCCTGACCTCTGCGTTCTTTACTCCTGAGCTTTGTGTTCTTTATTACTGAGCTCTGGGTTCTTTACTCCTGAGCTCTGCGTTCTATATTACTGTGGTCTGCGTTCTTTATTACTGTGGTCTGCGTTCTTTATTACTGTGGTCTGCGTTCTTTATTACTGTGGTCTGCGTTCTTTATTACCGAGCTCTGTGTTCTTTATTACTGTGCTCTGCGTTCTTTACTCCTGAGCTCTGCGTTCTTTACTCCCGAGTTCTGCGTTCTTTACTCCTGAGCTCTGCATTCTTTACTACTGAGCTCTGCATTCTTTACTACTGAGCTCTGCATTCTTTATTACTATGCTCTGTGTTATCTACTACTGAGTATGTCTCCATGTAGGATCTCCACAACAGAATTGAGCATTATGATGGCAAATGAAATATTAATAGTTTCATTTATGTGGAGCGCACCAATGTTTTTTTGTGCACACCGAGCATGCATGGCAACTCCATGTTATTCTAATTTACCTTCACAATTTCTGTCACTTTGTCATTCTATCACACAATCAACCTGAACACCTGTCATATCTTGTCATGGATATGTCACACATGGGTGAGTCATCTATGATAGAACTTTCCCACACTGTGAAGATTACATACTTGCCTTATATTTCATGCACATTTTAAACCCGGCTCTGCAATCCTGTGCAATTTTAATATATGCATCATTCCATACTATGTTACAAAAATGTGGTCAAAATCTGCTCACAAAACACTCAAGGAAAAAAAATTGATTACACAGCCAAAAGAGCTCATCACGCATGCTGAACATTCAGATAAGAACATGTTTTAAGTTAGAAAATAATAATCTTTTCAACAGCTTTGTTTAACTTCCTGTTGTCAATACTGTTTATACTCTCTTTGGTTTAGTGCAGCCTCAGGATAGCAAAGCTTCTAAATCTGTCTATGTGTTTTATTATCCTCAGTAGCAGTTTAACCACTTGAAGTCCGCAGTGTTAAACCCCCTTCCCATCCAGGCCATTTTTCAGTATTCAGCGCTGCAGTACTTTGACTGATATTTATTCCATCATGCAACGCTGTACTGAAATAAATTTTATACCATTTTTTGGGGACAGATAGAGCTTTCTTTTGGTGGTATTTAATCACCACTGCGATTTTTATTTTTTTTACTATATTAAGGAAAAATTACTGAAATAAATTTTTAAAAAAACAGTTTCCCCTATATTAAATGTTACCCAATTTTTTGGTAAAATATAAAAGACGGGGTCACTTCGGGTAAAAAGACACCAAACATGTCAAGCCTTAAATTGTGTGTGCGTGCGAAACCTCAAAAAACGATAATACCAAAAATTGGCCATAGGCGACGCTTTAAAAGCTTTTACCGCTCAGTTTAGTGTTATCAGTGATTGATGGCCCTAAAATGATTGCTCTCACTCCAACGTTCACAGCGATATGTAACGTGTGTAGCACAATTGTCATTTTCGCACGCTGGTGCACCGGACGCGTATTTACGTTTATATGTGCGTAACACATTTATGTCTCCATAAAGAGGACCTGACATTGGGGGTCTCTAGGACCCCTAATGTCACCTGGGGACCCCAAAAGAAGCTGATGAAGCAAAGATCTGCTTCATCAGCTTCTTCTCTCTGCTTATAGCAGCCAGATGACTGACAGGTGAATGCAGAAGTGATGTAATACACATCACTTCTCCATTCACAGCACTGAGGGGATCAGCAAGGAGCTGATCTCCCTCCCTCTTCCTCCTGACGCCCTCCCGAGCCG